AACATATTTCGTTAACATTTGCTTACTGATTTAAAAGTTATAGCATGAAAACTATAACAAGCACAAAATGGTTATGAGGTTGGTCCCAGGAACCAAGCCCATGCTGAAAGACTTAACTTCCACAGTGTTGGCACTTATGCTTCTGGATTTTGTGTACTACTTCTGATTACTACTAATTCCATTTACAATTTTAGGATGGGCAGAGGTTCATCCCGATTGTATGATTAAGTGGGTATTTTTAAGAAAAAGAGCTAAAAAAGTTAATAATTGAAAAATGTAAATAAACATGCTGTTTTATTGTGCAGAAATAAGAATGTTCTTTTTTGGTTTTTCTAAAGTGAAAAATTTGTTTATCTGTAACTTAAAATGTTGTAAGACTAGTGATTATGCTAACTGTATGTTGTGATGTGACTAATTTCAGTTTATTCAGTTACTAATAAACTGTTTGATCAATGCAAAAGTACCCATTATAATGTGTCTTTAAACATTTCTTTTGGCATCAGCTTCACATATTTTGCTAGCAACCTTCTTTGCACAGTTGAGCCCGCTTTTGTGGTATTATGGCCCTAAAATCAAAATTACTACCAAACTTGCACAATTTATCTGACTGCTTATCCATTTAAACTAAGAGCCTTTATGGAACAGTTCCTTTATCAACTTTCACAAAATTTTGTGATAACAGACAGATTGACAGTTTTTTATATGTGTATAAAATATATATGTTAAATTTCCTTAATTGTATTTAAAAATAAATACATTCATCATATTGATCACTATAGTTCTATACATTACACACTTGTGGATACAATCACAAGATTGTTTTACTTCTTTTTTTTTTTTCTTTTCTTTTTTGATAGAATATAAATTATCCTGAACAGAAGGTGGTAACTGTGGGTCAGTTTCGAATTGGGCTGTGTCATGGTCATCAAGTTGTACCATGGGGAGATCCAGATAGTTTGGCACTTATTCAGCACCAACTGGATGTGGACATTCTGATATCTGGCCATACTCACAAGTTTGAAGCATATGAACATGACAACAAATTTTATATTAATCCAGGGTCAGCAACAGGAGCCTATAATCCTTTAGAGAGGTAAATTGCTTTTCATCTTTTTTCCTACATTTATGTTTATTATCTGTTTTTTCTCTTCCAGATAAACAACTCTTCTAGAATAAAAAATAAAGAAGTAGTCTTTTCCTCCTCCGTGCCAAAACAGCCATTATTTTTTCAACTCATTGTTCTTTCTTCACTTGATATTATCATGGCTATACCAGCCTAAAGTTGTTTTTTTTCTTTTAGGCTTTTTGTACAGCTAGTTTCATTTTGACTTTGAATTATTTTCTTCCTCCACTAGACTATAATTTGTGGCTGTGGCTCTCTCTGTAGTGGGTATTTTGTTGTGTGAACTTTAATTATTTACTTATTACAGTGTTACCAGCAATTAAAGGCAATGCCACAGTAATCATACACCATACAGAAGTCGTACTAAAAACTTATCTGCTTACATTGATCACCACATCAAACATATACCTCCCCCCCACTTCTTACATCTTCTGCACAGTTCACGAGATTTTGGTGGCTTACATTCAAACTTTTATTAAAGTACTTTTTGTTTATGTTATAACAATTAGTATGGCTTAAATTCTTAGCTAATAATCCATATTTTAATAGTATATAGGTTCTTAATTTTATAAGGCAATATTTAAAAAAAATCTTGAATATCCCTTAGTGGACATGTGACACATTTTCTTTAGGTATCTCCTCTTCTCTATTTTATCCACCACCCTTCCAATAAGTTGGAAATTAAATGTATATTACTCATTATAAAATCACCATTGCTCAGATAAACCATAATTTTTATAGCCCTCAATTTTGTTTGGTTACAAAGCTATCAAATAGAAAATCAGACCTCTCTTGTTACATTCACCTATCTCATCCTCTCTTTCAGGATTTGTTAATAGTTCTCTCTTACATTTAATTCTGTATTATCTATAACCAATAGAAAGCCAGGTTTTCTATTTATTAAACAACATATTGTTTTGTGAATGTGGAATTGTCAATTTCACTGTTTGTACAAGTTTCGTTCCCATGGGAAAGATAACAATTAGCTTGGGTGAATTTGTAACAGCTTTTGTCACATTGCTAGAAAGCCAGAAAAATTGTGAGAATTGGGGGAAATTGTCTACTTTTTGTATGCTATTAGTCTATGTTCTTTAGTGCATTATTTCATTAAATATAAATTATTTAGTGCATTACTACCATTAGTATAAAAAGTAGGGTTAGGTGTCATCGACTATAAACAGCAAGAAAAAGATTTGGGTAAGTACTTTATTTCTTGTTTTTCATGTTTATTCTTTATTTATTATTATAAAAGTAGCTAAAATATAAAAATAGGGATCTTTTGAGGTTAATTAAGATTAGATTAGTTAAATAAATATGGGCTCAGTCAATTTGACTGACCACGTGACCTTTTTGTACTCGTTTAGTCTTTATAGATTTAATACTCCTAACTTTCAATATTATGTGTATATTTTCACAAAATTTGGCAGTCTTTCAGTTAACATTATAAATCATTCACATACAAAAAAATCATATTTTTTAATGAAGTATTTTTAATATAC